TCCTACACCTGGACACACACACCCAACATGAAATGAATGAACAGCTAAATTACCTGAGGCTGCGGAAACAAGCCCTGGCTCAGTTGTGGTATGGGGGGAGTTACCACGATGGTGAGGGCACCACCCGCTCCACCACCATGGTGTGGATGCATGTGGAGTGGATCTGGAGGCAGCTGGAGGGAGTGCTTGCACTCCAGACTCTCCACCTCACATGCAACCTAGGAACCACCAAATAATCATGCACTACCTTTACTACAGCTTAGACAGGATTTCTTTTTGGTCTTTCTTCGATGTTAGCAGATTAAAAGGGGAGGAAAGAGTGCTCAGCACACTGGCTCAGGATTTAAGGATGAAGTCATTTCTCGTTAGGTTTGGTTTCTGTCTACAATTTTTTCTTCACTGTTAATTCAAAATCTCAAACAATGGTTTGTTTCTATGCACTTGTTACTGAATAAAACAATTAATATAATGCACAAAACCATAGAAAATATAAATCAATGAATTATCAAGCATACTGTAAAATGACACACAATTACAGTGCAAGATTTACAAGGAAATCCTTATGCTTGCCAAAAATGCTTGCTCATAGAGGAATTTTCATTTGCTTTCAATGGCATTTGCCAAAAAATCAAAGGAAACTAATGAGTAATATGATAATTCTCCATCGTTTTTTAAGGCACTTGCTTTTACAGAAACAAATCTATCAGTAAAATAATGATAAAGAAATGAATAATAATTATCAATATAATAATAATAATAATAATATATAAATATAGTCATGTGTATAACTTCATCACAAATCCAAAGTGACTTAGAAAATTCTACAGAAATTAACATTAGTTTGAAAAGCTCTGGGAGGGGCAGTATTTTCAGTGGGGGATTCAGTATCGACCAAGATGAAGATATTGAAAATAGAGGGAAAAAGGTCATTATGGAAAAACATAAACTAGAGCATTAGATAACAACATATGTTTTAGATTCTTTTAAGTATAATTTAGAGAACTGCAAATTTGTGAATATTATAAGATGATGGATATTTTAAACATGACATCAAATAAGATTTTAGAAAAGTTTACAAATAAACACAAAAAATAATACATTAGCCCTTTGCAAGGACACAGAGAGATCAAGTGGTGTTATTTATAATAAATGGCTCAATGCATCATGCTCAGTGCTTCTGTTACCATGCTTTTCTTATCATGCCCGACTGCTTCTCTAAGCCTACCTACAAGTTGTAAAACTAAATACAAGAGACAATCTATGAATACACTGTTTCTGACCTATCTTGCATACTTGGACATTATAGTCTACTTCTTTTGGACACTGTACTTTGCAGAAAAGAAATATGAGGAAGGAAAAAATAAATAAATAAATAAAAAGTTGTAAGGATCACCATAGAAGATATTGTAAAAAGAAAAACAGAAGTGGTAGTGAAAACCACAACATACAAGTGAAAGTGGTGATTGTGAAAAAAACGGAAGCAAATTACCATGGCAAAGATATCAAAATACAAAATTCTATGACAATCCAAAATCTGTCCCAAGAAGAGTGTTGGACTCCATGTACTCTGTGCTGTTAATAGTTTTCCGAGTCCTCTTTTAATGCACAATAAAGCTTACCAATCAAGAAATTTATTTAAGCATCTAAGGCATTCTCTTGCTCTTTAGGTACCTCCCACATGGCACTGTGGCTCATTGGGTGTGTATTTAGCATGAAATTAACTACAATACCCAGTACCCTTAGCTTTAATTAAAGCCCTGTACTCCATTTTTTTTCAAAGGCAATTATGTATGCGACAGGCTTGTGATGATTAAAGACCAGGTAACAGATAGGTGATGTTCACAATTTGGTGGCTAATTACTCAAAATTGTATTGATCAAATGCTTCTTTAGTTTAAGCTTTTTTTTTTACCAGAAGATCAATATGTTCACATTCATGCATTACAATCTCAAGATTGGAATACATTAACATGAACATAATGATGGCAATGTTACTAAAGAAAGTTTAAACTAAGAAAACTAAAACTTCAGGCAATTAGTGTGTTGACACCTTTGGATGCATATGCCCTAATTTGATAATTGATAAGTTAATTACAATAATCAATTAATAAACAATAATTTTACTTGGCCACATATTCAGCCAATCAGCCCTATTCTCTGAAGGCCATATCTGCCTCATGAAAGGAAAGAGATAGAAAAAAAATGGAGACAGAACATAACTTATATGATCCACAAGTTATAAGTGAATAATGAAACTAGCAAATCATTTTCACAAGCAAAATACTCAATATGCGTTTGAATAGAATGCAAACCTAAATCAAGATTTAATGACAGGTTAACAAGAATAGAAAAAATAAATACTGATAGGAAAAGAAAGGCATGTATTGTGTGTCTGTCTTGAACTACCCATTACTTTTTTATTTCCTAGCAAACAGCTCCCCCTGTTCTGCAAAAATAAATGTTGATGGGCTACTGCAACTAAATCATACTAATAAACATCCTATGGCCTCTTCATAATTGTCTATTGTGAGGTCTGCTACCTGATCTAGTAGAACCTAGTGTGAAATACCTTCATTAAAATCATCTAGATCCAGTGTCACTATTCTAAGTCTATTTTCTTTGCAACAATATTCAAAACAAACTCTAGAATCTGATAAAATTCTCAACTTATGTTGAAATCTATTATCCTACAATCTAACCTATGCTGTGTCTAGCTTCAGCCATCTCTTGGCTATACCTAAAGCTTTACATCTCTCATTCCTCATGCAAACACATTCACCTCATTAGGTTTGGTGAAGTCTTTCCCCTTTCTTTCCTAAGTTGTTTCAAACAAATGATCACATTTTGCTTCACTCAGCACATGCATAGGCCATACAGAGTAGAAAATAAATATGGCAGAGAAAAGTCTATTTGAATACTATATATATATATTACTGAATATTGTACGTGATTCCTTGTAATACAGAAATCTTCTGCTTTTTGTTCATTTATGAGAAAACAATTCTATTATTTGTCATCCCCACTTTAAAAAAAATATATATATGTCTACATTACTCTTTTGCTACCCACCCTCTAATCTCATACAGAATATTAGTGAAAACAATACCCATGGAATTTTCTGGTGATATTTATCATCCCTCTCTTATAAATTACAGTTCATACTACAAATAAAGTATCCCTACACTTTACATGAAATACAGCTGCTGAGTGATTCTACAAATCAGAAATTGCTGTCGCGCATCTTCTTCCTTGCTATTGCAATGATGAACCAATAACTATTCTTTTTTCAACTTCTGCTTCTACATATACTAATAATTACACAGATGTATCGAAAGTGTCCAAACAGCATAAACAAAGAGAGTATCCTTACAAATATTAATAAAGGTGCAATAAAAATGCATTACAAGTTGTTAAGCATATACAATACTGAGAATCCATGCACACATAAAACTGAAGTACAGCATGTATCTGTACATACATTCTCATACATATATAGATACAAGTACTGTATATACATTTACATATACACATACATGAATATACATACATATTAATATATATACATATATATATATATATATATATACATATATATATATATATATATATATATATATATATAATTATATATATATATATAATATATATATATATATATATTATATATATATATATATATATATATATATGTGTATATATGTAAATATATATATATATATATATATATATATATATATATATATATATATATATATATATATATATTATAATGTATATATGTATATATGTATTATATATATAATATATATATATATATATATATACACACACACACATGCATATGTGTGCATACACACATGTATATATGCATATACATGTAGACACATAAACACTGTCCTGCATGTAAGCAAAGTGCAAAGGCTCCTACCTGGTGAATAACCTCAGTCGGGGGAATATCTGTTGTGCGGTTTGTGTAGTGCGGCCCCTGAGGCTGCGTCACAACATTAGCCTCCTGGACTGGGACGCCCGGATTGGTAATGGTCATCCCGCCCAAGCTACCACCGCCACCACTACAGCTGCCCTCACTACCACCACCACCACCCTGTTATGTTCACAGTCACAGGTTAGTTAGTGTTTTCATTAAAACCCCAAATCATCTTCTAAAAATACATACATATAAGCAAAAAAGCAGGAGAAAGGTTTTGATGGTCAAAGAATATCATATTTTCTCCTGCTGCTCTTACCAGTTTGAAATCAACAGAAAGGCTAATATATGCCAGCAATAAACCTGTTTCTGCATTCACAGGAAACATTGTAAAATCTACTTCTTAATCAGAACTTGATTCAGTAACATAGATTTACACCAATGCAAAAAATTCATAAATATATTCAAATAAAAAAAATTTAAATCAAGAGACACTTAAGTAATTTACTGTAGTTCAAGACTGCACCAATTATGTGACACTGAATAATTTTGAGTTTTCAGTAACTTCTCATTTAGTAAAAAAAAAAAAAAAATGCTTCCCAATTTTATGAAAAAAGGACATATACAAACAAAACCAAACAAAGCAATATCAACATAAATGAAATATATACTTCAATACACATGAAAAACAAGCATGGAAACACACACACATGAAAATCTATGCCATCATACATACTAATATGAATTTACATGTGAATATCTTATACATACTTACTCTCACTCACTAATTAAAATAAGATATATATCAATATCCCCTCCCCCCACACAAACAAACACGCACAATTACACACGCGCACACACACAAACACACACACACACACACACACACACACACAACACACACACACACACACACACACACACACACACACATACACAAAAGTGAGAAAAACTATGCATAATCTGAGCAGGCTTACAGCAGTGGAATTTGTAATTGAGTTTAACCTATTGCCACTGGGAACTGGTAATGTCCACTGAAGTTTTGTGTCATAAAAAGTATTCACAGACAATGGCTC